GCTGGACACGCTTTCATGTCTCTATCGCTAACTGCGCAGAACTCGACATCAATCTTTTTGACGAGCCAGGTCTTTATGACATCAATACAATTGGATCTATGTTTAAGGCTTGGCTACGGGAGCTACCCGACGAACTTTTCCCGAAGGAAACCCAGGCCATGATTGCTGAGAAATGCGAGGGCGCAACTACCGCCCCGCAGTTGCTGAAGGATGAGCTTTCGAAACTGCCACCCTACAACTACTACCTTCTCTTTGCAATCACCTGCCACCTCAACCTCCTCCACTCGTATGTCGATCAGAACAAGATGGATTATCGGAATCTCTGCATTTGTTTCCAGCCTTGCATGAAGATTGACGCCTTTTGTTTTCATTTCCTCGTATGCGACTGGAAGAATTGCTGGCAGGGTTGCTGGACCGAGAAAGAGTATCTGCAGATTGAAAGGGAGATGGACGAAAAGGAGAAGGCCGCATCTTCGAAGTCGGGAGCTGTTGATCACTCTTCTCTACCTTACTCGGATGCTAACGAACGAGCCATATCTTCTTCCGGCAGCAGTCAAGCAGCTGCCGAGGATGAACCAACGTACCGTCCTGAGACAGCGAAGAGCCGGAAACAGAAGCCCAAACAGATTGAGACTACACACACCAGGAGCATCTCCCAGCTTCCCGAGCTCGGGCCCCCCTTGTCTCCGATTCAGATATGACCTTGATTCTCCGTTCGGGTCAATCTTTGCTGAAGTTAGCCGTTGTTGACACTGCTGGCCTGACAACTCTCAGGCTACATCAATCGTCCTCTTTCCAAAATTCTCCGATGCGTTCTTCTTGCCCCTTTCAGAAAGCATCCTGCTTAAGACACGGACCGGATCCGATGTCAAACTAATCTTCTTGTGGTTGTACATTGACTTGCCGTTTTCCAAGATCCTGCTTGCAAATCGTGATTCTCCCTACTTCGCCGTCTTGGTTTCTCTTTTCCGCGCACACAGTCGCGGAAGAATTATTGAATCCAACATTTTTCTCCGGTGCACTCATCACTACTTTTTATCTCGTCTTTCAAATGTGGTACTTTGCGAAAGAAGTGCATAGATCGGCGCCCTCGGAGTTGGGTTATGGGTTTTTCATACGATTTTTTGGTTGTACAAATTGCCTCAGCTGACGTGCAGCATCCTGGTGGCCCGATTGTTTTGCGTACATGTACTTGAAACGTCACATTTAGTTTTCTTTTTGCCATTTGATTCCCAGCTTGGAGCTTTTTCTCGATGTTTCTTATTTCCGTTGCGTGCATACCCCTTACGCCGTCATTCCTAGGTTACTTGTTTGTGTGCCTCTATCAACCTCTTATTGTAAAATATCCCAACGGAACTCTTATGCGTCAACTTGAGTGCAAAGCCAAAACGAAGGTGAATGGTCCCAACACGTAGTTTTGCATTTGAGATCTCAAATGATCGGGGTATGATGCATTAATCTGATCTTGCTTTGTTTGGTCCCACAGTGAAAATCCGTAAAATAAGACCGGCGACTCCAATCCGAACTCCTGCTTTTGTTTGGCCAAGCCCAGCGTTTGAGACACATAAAAGAAGAACAACGAACGAAGATCAGATCTTCGTCTAGTGCATCCGGAATAGTGTTTACTTGCTCATCCACCACCGGACTTGCGGGATCTCCGCTCATTAGATCTCATCTTCCTCTCGTTGCGGCGTATTCTCTCCTTGCGTTCGGCACGCGAGACCCCACGGATCGAACTGCCTTTAGCCGCCGCCTCTTCTTCCTTCTTCCAGTCCTTCTCTTTGACCTCTACCAGCCACTCATCGTCCGACTTGTTTTTGCCCTTGTAACCCCATCGAGGTACCCATTCACCCTTCTCTTCATCATAGACTAGCTTCTTGCGGCGCTCCTTGTCTGCCAACGCAGCGCCGGGTTTGCTGCTATACTTGCCAATACCCTTCTTGCGAGCGAACAGCTCCCACTTGGTAGGTGGCTTGGGTGTGGGTAGGGGCTTGTGTCGTGGGAGTACAGTCGTTGGGGGTGGGAGGGTGAGGAGGACACCGTTCTGTGCGGAAGATGTAATCGGGCAGGTAGTGAGGAGCTGGTTGAGGAGGGACTGGGTGCCGTCTCGCGCGGTGGCCTTCAGAGAGACGTTCAAGGGCTCTGAGCGGGGAAGTTCAAGGGGGTTAGGATCGTTGGCCATCAGATAGCCCAAGTCGAAAGTGTACGGCGTGGGCTTGGAGACTGTGACAAGACTAGGGGATCGAAAGAATCAGCATCTGCAGCGAGGCGGTTACTGGCTTGTCCATGGGCATTGTACTCACAGTCTCTCGGGTTTGGGCTTAGTCTCAGAAGCAGCGGTCGTCATTTCGACTTCGGTCATTGTGACTAGGGTACCGAGGCCGATTCTGGAGAACGGCGATATTATACCCGTGAGGTTGGAAAATGCGAAATGTAGACGATTAGTATGGACCAGTATTATTCCTGATCGGAGTGGCCCAAAAAAAAATTGCGGAATAAATTTTGGGAGGCCGCTTTAACCCATGTTCCGGTCCCACAGTTTAGAACGGCCACTACGCTAAGCCCTAAATAGTAACAGGAGAAGTTCGAAAATGTTGCTCCAAGACCCCAACCGCATTGGAATTGATACACTCGGGCAATCAACGGCAGCAGCCTGTCTCCCTCTTCTTCCAACCTTTCAGCAGCCTCCATTGACCGGTTAACCCTGGCCTCTGCGCCAGTGTGTCGCAATGGTTTCCTCTTTCTGCTGGAGCTGCTTGACGCGGCTTCGTCCGACGACTCGAGCTCTACTACCACCGTCGTTGGCAACACCCAGAGTAGCGGCATTTCACTCATCACCGGTGCAATATGCGAACCCGACAAAGAAGAAAGTCAGTCTTGATGGTCCTCCCAAGTACCGTCAGGCAAAGTCGGCCAAGATGAAGAAGAAGAAGCCCGTTGACAGGCCCCGTCCGCCGCCTGTCGGAGAACGCAAGGCGCTCCGGAAACGCATCGTTCTCAGTAACCCGAACGCTCTTGAGGTTGAGGGCATGCAGGACCTCACAGAAGAGACGATGGTGGATTCACGCCTTCGTGGAACGGTCCTAGGTCTGCCCCTGCCGCTGATCGATCCGTTAAGAGCTGTGCAGGCTTTCAAGCCCAAACAGGGCTGGTCGATATTCCGCCGTCCCGGCACGGTGGTAAGACGGGAGACGGTGGAGCTGGGAAGACAATTTGACATGATCTCAAGCGAAGGCGAAGACAAGGGCAAGGTGATCAAGAAGATCGTTACTGGTGTGCGAGGAACGGGAAAGAGTGTGCACCTGCTGCAAGCCATGGCCATGGCCTTTACCAAGAAATGGGTCGTATTTACTGTTCCTGAACGTATGTCATCACCCTGTTTACCTATACCCTGATCTTCTGTTTGCTTGATTGTTTCGTTGGTGTACGTGGGCTTACAGAACATTTCAGCCCAGGACCTGGTCGTCGCACACACGGGCTATGCGCCTCTCTCTGACGAAGTCCCCAATCTATACGTCCAGAATGAAGCAACAGCGGCCCTCTTATCTCGTACGGTCAAAGCGAACGAGGAGGTCTTGACGGGGCTCAAGGTTTCTCGGGCGCACCCCGCTCTCGGCTCGGCCGTGAAACCTAACACGAGCCTCGCAGAGCTTGCTACTCTTGGCATTAATGATCCCGCTGTCGCCTGGCCTGTCTTTGAGGCGCTGTGGGCTGAACTCACTGCAACTTCTGCGTCTCCCCGCTACGAGAAGGCCTTCGAGCCTCGCCCTCCCATTCTTGCTACTGTGGATGGCCTAGCACACTTGATGAAGGAGACTGAATACCGAAGCGCTGACTTTGAGCCCATTCATGCTCACGATCTTGTCTTTGTAAGACACTTCCTTTCGCTGTTGAAGCCCGGTGCTGGTCAGCCTACTCTTCCGAACGGGGGCATGCTGCTCTATGCCACTTCCGCTTCCAACAATCCCACTGTCTACAGCTTCGAAGTTGCTCTCAAGCAGGTAGCAGCGCGCCAGGCTGGTGTTAGTCCTTCCGCTCCCGAATTCCCTCAGGCCGATCCCTACAGCAAGGTTGACAAGCGCGTCCTTGACGCATTCGAGTCTCCTAAACCCGCCTCTGCTAAGGAGGGTGCTCTGGAGCTTCAGGCTCTTGGCGGCCTTACAAGGGATGAGGCTCGAGGCTTCATGGAATACTTCGCACGCAGTGGACTTCTGCGGGAAAACATCAATGACGAGTGGGTTGGGGAGAAGTGGAGCTTGGCCGGAGGTGGCGTTGTTGGAGAATTAGAGAAGCTGGGAAGACGGCTCAGAGTGATGGCCTAAACGACTCCAGGCAACGTCGTTTACTCATCTAGAGCTGCGCTGGTTGGGTTGCTGCGGCTCTATGTATAAACCTTTTGTGGCATCGAATTCCCGTCCATTGTGCTGTGCTATAAAGGATGGGGTTCGGCTTTTCGTTAGAATATTTGTACTTTACTGGATGTGTTAGGTTTCTTGTGTCTCTGTATGCTATAATGGAATCTTCAAAAGATACAATCGACTTTCCTTCTTCAATCTGATGGTACGTCTCCTGTCATGATATCATGGGCAACATCAGGAATTCTTTGCTTTTATCTAGGGCAACTGTGACGTTCAAGGAGTACTACAACAGCATAAGTCTTCATTGGCATTGAAATCCAGAAAAGCTACAGAGACTATCATGGAAGGCTTCCTCGTCCTCGCCTGCCAACCCCACACTATGAACAAATAACAATCACAACGGCGATAAACAACAACCCAAATCAAGCAGCTTCACGCGAGATAATCTCAAAAATATATAGAAAATCCACCCACCGCAATCAACAGAAACACAGTACATGCACCGAATCTGATGCCCCTCAAGATGAACAGTCCCCGCTCGACTCTCTGGCAAAAGAAGTACCTGAGGTCCCCCTGCCAATGTGTAGGAAGCTGGTGATATGGCTCTGTTTAAGCTCTGGTGCTACTTCCGCGGAGCTTCTTCTAGGAATCGAAGTGTTGACGCTTGTGATATCCACTCTCTGCCCATTCCCCGCGGTACGGGCGCTTCCTTGTTGCCATATAATGCTCCAACTCCCAGTCAAACTGCTCTTCGGCCTCAGTTGCTCCTGGAAGTAAAGGTTGCTCTCTGGCTGCAAACTCCTCCCTGTCGCCATCTGCTCCGTCCACCTGCGCCCCGATAGGTTTCGTCTGGGTCCCGAGTGCCCTCGTAGAAGTACCCTGGCTCGGATCGGGACTGGTATCTGGAGTCGGATCACGAGGTGCCGCGCTCAGCGGCGGGTACTGGGGAGGCTGCAGAGCATCGTCCTCATCGCTCGACTCGTCCTCGTGTTCGCCGTCACAAGCGCATTGTCGACCAAGCTGCCTGAGCATACCCTTTTCCGTCATGGGCGACTCAGTGTAGGAAATGAGGATTTCCTTTCCCTTGGGGATATCTTCTTTTGCCCATACAAATACACGATTTGGGACGCCGCCGAAATCGAATCCCCACTGTGCGTTATGCTTTTCCGGGCAGGCATGATTGAACAGGCTGAGGCCTGGATAGAGATACAATGCTCGAAATGACGGGTCATAGCTTTCAAAGCTTTCCCTCTTTTTAGTCATTTCTCGTTGCTTTTCTGGGTCGTCGATCTCCTTCCGCCTAACAATCTTCTTGGCTGGCTCTTTGCTCATCTTCAGGGCCGGTACATCAGCCCAGGGAATCGCGTTGGTCAGCAATTTCCTTAACACGATTTGAATGACCCAGGTGTCGAACGAGAGGTCGGCGAATATGTCCACGCCCAGGTGCATGAGAATGTCGAATGGGACCTGGATGTTGGCAGCCAATGTGAACGGAAATGATACTTTCTCATCAGTCCGGTCCAAGTTATCCTCAAGGACCAAGAGTTCGTCAATCTCATGCGCCATGAGGTTTGGGTCGTGAAACCTTTCGCGCCTCCCGAGTGTGATGTCAAACACTTCCCTGAGGAGAAGGCTCAGCAATGTTCCATGGGCCTCATTTGTGTGACTAAAGTAATGATAACCTTTATGATTACCCCATTGCATCACATATGGGCGCATAGCATCATGCAGCCATTTCCAGTTTTTCCGACAGGCCCGAAAGTGATAAAGCTTCCGCGCAATCTCGGAGCATGTCTTGGGCCCAGGACCTGGGGGGCAGTAGCTTAGCGGAATAGCTTCTTTTTCATCGAGTAAAACACATTTGCATGCGGCCTTGTCCTGTCCGGCTTTGATCTTCTTGATCCGTTCTTGGTCCTCTTCCGGCCACGCGGCATCAAGCTCTTTGTAACAGTTGTCGCATCGTGGCGTACTTGCGCTGTATTCACACTGATCCGATGGCAGCCTGCTCACGCCGAGATGTCCCCGCATTGCCGGCTCCTCGACGAAAATCATCTGTCCTTTCTTGATTTTTTCGGTTGCAAACACCCCTAGCGCTGTGGCGGAGTCCTTTGCTGGCTTGAGGCGCTCAACCGATTTGACCTCGCATCTCCTCCAAGGGAGGGCTTGATTGTTTCCGAAAAGCCTTTGGTTCAATTCATCGAGGAAATCTTGGTCGGTCCGATGTTTGTCACTCGATTCATACGGATATAGCCTTTCTGTCGAAACCTTTCCTGCCCGGGACTCGTGAAACCAAAGCTTTTTTGCCTCCTTTTCATTGTGAGCCTGCTCGAAATAAGATTCCATTACCTCGTGACGTCGTTCGAAAGGTCGTCTATCGCGGTCCGGCATGATGACCCTTTGAGGGAGGTATTTCTCCATGGCCTTGCAATCCTCTCGGGCTTGAAGCGCAGCGAGACTTAGGCTGATGATGTTATGAAGTGCCTTTCGAAGGGTTGGGATGAAGTAGTTAATCCCGTTAGGTTGGCGCATTTTTTCCACCTCTGGCGGGACGGCTTCCGTCTCACTGTTCATCCCTGCCAGGATATGCTGAGAGATCGCGTGCCAGATTCGGGGGTAAAGCCCGGGTTGACGGTTTCTGCACCGAGCATCGACAAGCACCTCGCAGAGAAGCTGGGCTCGGTAGGCATCTCCGATCGCAAGGTCAAAGAAGGCCTGTTGGTAGTGGCAATAGGCACGGCTGACCCAGTATGTAGGGTTGTATGGGCTAAGTTTAATGGCCCAGGTGTACATGTCCAACGGGTTCAACTCATCGCCCGGGTAGATTCGCCAGCCCCGCGGCTTCCCTGTGGATATCTTCCAATGTCCGAGGTCGCTTCTGGAAAAGAGTGTGAGAGACTTTCGCTCATAGTCGTAAAGACGCTGGCGCAAGACTTGCGAAGTCCCAGTTTGGACTTGGTTTCGGTCCCTAAGCTCCTGCTTCAATGTTGCAACTGTTAATTGGCGGGAAGTCATTACATCCTTGCCCTGAATAAGGATGGGTCCGGTATTAGGCATATGCCCCCAGTCTTTCAAGATATCATCGAGTCGCCACTTCGCCTGGTCCATCCCCATCTGTGTCCATTTAGCTTGCCATTCGGACTCTGCAATGGGGTACATGTGCTCCAACAGGAGAAGCTCGTACACCTCTAAGGCGAGTCCTTCGGTGTGCTCCATTGCCTTTATATCGTCGTCATCACCAGGCCGAGGAAAAGGGTGCTGGCCTAGGCTGTCCAAGTACTGTCGGAGTTTTTGAGTGGGACGATCCCACAAGATACGTGCTAGTTTTGCATCTTTCGATTCCACATATGGCGCCCAGTCGATCTCTTGGAACTCGTCCGGCCTGGGCGGGAACTCCGGTGCGTCAACCACCTCACGAGGCGGATGGGACAGGAAAACTTCCGTCCACCATGCCTGGGCTTTTTTGGGATCTGAAGGAGGATGAAGACCGAGGACCATTATTCCAACAACAAACAGCAGGGGTTCTGTAGGACAAGTTGGTATGGCTGATCAATGGTTGAACGATGCAAGTCAATCTTGTCATTCGATAGAACATTGTATATATCTAATTCTTCTCGATGGCCAGCAACGACAGAGGGCATGTCGAATATTTAGGGCAACAAAGAACCCCTCATCCAAGGACCGGGCAACAAATGCTTAAAAAGGTGTTCCTTTCAGGGATACGTAACGCATTAGACTTTCGAAAGTCCCAGTGGTTCAAGGACAAAGAGACACAGTAGACAAGAACTGAATGCATGCTGGATGGTCGGTCCCTAGGTAAGGTAGACCTTCGTTTACCCTATTTCGGTTGCTCGCAGTTTATTCCACGGTAGCATTCAGGAACAAAGGAAAGCCCTGAGTTCCCTAATCTGGCTGTCTTTCATTAAAACCAACCCACACGAATCGCAAAGTCATGAGCATAACAGAAAGCGTGTTGATTAGAAAAAAAGTCCGTCGACCTGCTGAGGTCAGGCGTATTGTATACATTCGAATGTCGAAGGTTATCCGCATAATATATGGGTCAATATAATGCCGACTGAAGGTTTTCGTCAGCATTGGCATCCCGTCAGTCTTATTTTTTGTGCTGGATATCAATGAACGGCATCTATCAGCACCCCGAGTGAACGTTGGGGAAGAAGGACGTTCATCCTCTGCCTGGTCATTGAATCGGGACGTTGTCTTGCAAGACCCTCGTTGAAGTCGAGGCTAGCGAGGGTTCACAAAGCAATTATGGCCGTGTCCTGTAACCAAGGACTCTCAAGGTCAAAGAACGAGGAATATTTAGCAATATCATGATGATTGTTTTTTGTTTTCCGATGTATTACTGTGTGGGTCGTCTTGTTGATGGCAGAGTGGGAGAAGCGAAGCCGAAGGGAGACAACGCGAAATACGCAGTACACGCAGCACAGCCTCATGAGGGTGCTTCTTCTTCCATCATCATCACCTGGCCCCTGGGGTCATCGCAGTTATTTTCTGTCAAGACGCAGGGTTGACCACCGGTGTCACCAGATTATTTTCCTTTATCTTGTCCTCCTGATCCACGGTTGACTAGGTAGTCATTATTGATTTCTTTTCTCCCTGTAAGGCTCATAATCATCCGAACCCCACCGGTTCTGCGGTAAGTGGCCTTCAAAGAAACAAACAGACCACCACCGGCAATATCCATGCTTGTCCAGGCGCATATCTGTAACTGACAAAGAAAATCTCCTAGCCATGTATGGATCACATTCTTACTCACATTCCACCGGTCCACCGCATTCAAGTCCTTCTCAACCAGAATGGCGTTTACCTGCGACAACTCAACACCAGCAATCTTCGTGGCCCGCGAGTTCTGTGGCATCTCCCCCGCCCCCACCTCCTCCTCCTCCTGCGCCGATTGCAGCTCCTTCATACCATCCTAATACGTACGGATCTATCTCCAATATGTCACCTGGCGCAGGTGGGTCACCAGTGTTTGGTGCTCCCGGCGGCCTGAATACAACGTCATGGGGAGTGAGGTATAAGCATCAGATTCTGGCGCCTCCGCCGCTGCCTGTGAGTGTCTGAATCCTCGCGCAGAGTTATACGTGGACGGCCTCATGCTTACAAGGCCTTATATAGCCTCGACCTCCAAGTGCGGCGGAGCATCAGCACCACAACCCTGCGCAAGTTCAGTCCCCGACTGTCGGCTCCCCTGACCATCACAAGCCTCTGCCAGCTACTCCTGGGTATGGCTCACAGCCTCCCTCCTTCGAGAATCATCAGCAGTGGACAACAGGCGCGTCTCACCCGTCCCAGCAAGCTCCTACATATCTACCGTCTCCCCCTCCACCTCCGCCAATCCCCCCCAGTTACCAGACTCAACCCACACCGTTAGACAACCAGACATGGCAACAGCCGAACCACCCTGCTTATGCAGGATTCCCTTCCGGTCACAATTTTCAGGTGCCATCCTCCTCGGCCTCGGCACAGGCAACTGAAGCCAGCATAGGGCTTCCCCAAACCATGAGTCCTCCACCTCCGGCCCAGCAACTTCCGCCTGCGGAGCAACCTTGGCCCCAGACCTTGCCAAGCGAGCAAGAAACTGCTCCGCCAGTACCACCAAAGACCGGTCCTAACATGTTCCCAGCCAACGCTTATGGCTTGGGGTCTGGAACCCCATCGGATTGGGAGCACCTGGCACCTACTCCCGGGACCGGTGTCGGCGTGGAGATACACGAACGCAAGCAGAACCATCCAATTAATTACTCGACTGTAGCCGATCCACTTTCAAGTCAGCCGGCTTCTTTCCCGTCTGAACCGGGTAATCAGGCCACTGTATCTACTCCACCAACGACGACCTCACCCTCTGCGCAGCCTGCGCACCCTCAGCCCATACCTCAGCAGCATCATGACGGCGGGTCACCAGTTAGTCCAAGCACTACGCCGGATATGCGTGATCCGCCCCGTCCTGTTAGGGTAGATAGTAGCGGCACCGAATACAGTATTATCTCGGCTACTGAAGCATCTGAAAGTATTGATGGCGTTATCGAAGCTTGGAACCAACCAATCACTCCACAGACCAAGTCCGCTGTCGAGCAATCTCGGGAGAGTCTGGCCTCAGGGCCCGAAACCAGGTCCTCAACGCAGGGGTCGAGCCCTGTCGATATCACACAACAAAAGCAGGAATTCAAGGTTCCTCGGAAGGAGGTCCCGTCGCGCACAGCTACGCCCGCGTCGAGCAGTTCCGTTGGTGAAACTAGTGGCGGGAGACCGAACACAGCGAGCCCACAACCGAAACCACAAGAGCCCTACGAAGACCTAGACTCCTGGTCCAAGTCATCGCTGGCCCGCTATGTAGCGATGCTTCGAAAAGAAGAGGTTGCTGATTCTGACGAGGAGCGCTTCAAGATATTCACGGCCTTCATGGCCAAGGAAACAAAACTGCGTGAGATCTTGTACAACATCGAACCTGAACAGAAGAAGAATCAAGATGCGCCACAATCGTTACCGATCCCGCAGAATTCAACATCTCCTCCCGTCGAGTCGGGTTTGATTCCAGTCCAATCGGAAGAGGGATATGATGCGGAGATTTCTTCTAACGATGCCCTTGGGGAATCGGAAGAAGGCCGCTATAGTCCAGGAGGGCGTCCAATTCTTGCCCGACTCCACACGCCCCAACCGTCGGGATTGCAAAGATCCGCCTCGCAGCCTACTGCCTTCAAGGCAAAGGTAAGCAGAGACTTCTCGGCTAACGATCAAAATCCAATCTCGCGGGCTACATCTGTCCCGCCCTCCATGAATGACAAGACATTCTCCCCGTTAGCAACAAACCCTCCGCAGCCCATTTACACTCCCTTCAGATACACTGAGGGCCCTCAACGTGGCTCTGACGACCTCACTTTTGACCGCCCTGCGTACCAGGCATACTCTGCCTTGCGTCAAGCGTCTGCGGAAAGTGGGCGTGTAATGTCGAACGCGCCCAACGCACCGAATCGGAACAGGTCGAGTACGGTGACGTCTTCAGTGGCTCAAAAAGACTTTGAAGAAACTTTCATCGGCCTTATCCGGGAGAAAAGCGTGGCGTATAGGAATAAAACTTCTCCAAGCACATCTTCGCCGCCTCCACTGCCGGCGGCTTTTAAGCAAGGAAAGACCGGTAGTCCGATCGATGACCTGCGTTCTATGGTCTCGTCCCCATTAGCTAAGCAGTCAGAAAGCTCATGGCACGTTACAACCAGAAGGGATTTGGAGAAATACTCGGATGACTTCAGCTACATCCGCGAGGCCGTCAATACTTGGGAAGCTTCAGCCAAGATTCGTCGGGAGAACACTGAGAGAGAGCGTATGCGACGGCAGGAGGAGTCCGAGAAGCATATTGATGACTTGTTCAACGAGAAGGAAATTGGCTATGCCGATATCAACGTTCTGGAAGAAGAGTTTCGCCAAAAAGAAGCGCGGGTACAGCTAGACGAAGAGAGACAGGATCTGGACGGTTTCGTCGCAAAGGTCTACAATCCGCTGGATGAGCGTCTGAAGGGGGAAATTTCCGCGCTTCAGGATCATTATGAATCTGCCCTCGCGCAACTCGACCATGAAAACAACAAGATCAAAGATTCTGTCACCGACAAGTACAACCTCTCTCACACGATGAAGGTTGTAAATGATATCTATCAGAAGCTCGAAATACGCTATTACAAGCGTCTTGAGATCGCCCTGGACCGTGAGCGCCGACGCAAGAAGGCAGAACGACGCCCACTCGTGTTCATGGGAGATTCTGCCGCTCTGAAAAAGTTGGATGGGGAGTTTGATCAGATGGAGAAGCGAAATATACTCGAAGCAGCCAAGGCGCGGGACGATCGGGCTAACAGGCTTATGGATACCTTTGACAATGCAATCATACTCGGACTAGGCGAGAACCAGAGTCTCTTGGATGAGGTCACTGCCAAAGTGACACGGATTGATTCTGAGGCCATCCAGTCATCTGGTCTAGCAGTAACTGAGGTTGAGCAGTTGTTGAAATCCGTGTTCACCCTGGTCGAATCCTTGCGGCAGGATTCCGAATCCATCCTGCACAGCTTTGGTGTCGCTGACACGGCCCTCAACAACGCGGATTACAGTGTTTCTGTCGCTGAAGCTCGCTACTCCAATGCCGATCCTGAGATCTTCCGCCGTCTCGATGACGAGAAGAAGAAGGAAGATGCGAAGATTCAAAAAGATCTCCACGCGAAAATGGAAAGCGTGCGGGTTGGTCCCTCCAAGATCATTGCTAAGATCAATGATCTTCTTGAATCGCTGGGCAAAACACCAGTGGTAGAGCAGCCTATGTCTTCCGAGATCATTCCTGCTGCCCACCCTATGGACGTCCTGCTGCCAGGTCCTCGTCCGCCTACAGTGACCCCTGGGCCAAGGAAGCCGGACGGAGATCCTGAGCATCAGGAGCGACTTCGGAAAGCTCTGGAGGATGCGAAGAGGAGGAACGCTGCGAGGGGCAGTTCGTA